TAATTACAACACACATGAGACTTCTCAGAAAGAGAGAGAGAGACATGAGAGAATGCAGAAAGCAGAACACAGCATGTGAACAGCTCATTCTCATGACAACATCTCAGACAAGGTGTATGAGCCTCACACCCGCGGGTGTAAAAGAGTATAATATTCATGTTTCTGTTTCTGAAAACACAGATATCTTTTGTCTGTATCACAAAGTTAGATGACAGATATCAGAGAATAGACTGATATAGATCTATCATTTCAAAGAAATTTATCAGAGTGAATGTCTCTGCAATATTGAACTTTACAGTTGTAAAAAGTTTCTTGATATCTGTGAATATCACAACTTCATGCACAGTAAAACTCATAATAATTTTCTCTAAGAACAGAAAAATCAGTGTTAGAAAGAAAAGATGAAAAAGAAAAAAACTTATAATCTCAACACTGTTGAAAAGAGAAGTGATTCTCTGAGATGAACAGATAATTATCTCATCATGAATATTTAAAATGAATGTAATAATTAACATCTGTGACTGAGCTTCAGATAGTTGTGTCATATACTGTCTTTATACAATAGATTGTTCTAGAGATTGACAAGAAGAATGAGAGTGTACATACTGAGAAATGTGATTCACCAAGTCTATACAATATCTCCTTGAAACAGAGAGAGCTGATAACAAAAGCAGAGACAGCAAAACCAGGGGGAGCAGAAGTAGCAGAAGTGAGAGTCACAGGAACAGAAGTAGCAGAAGCGGGAGAATCAGACACAGAGACAGGTGTAGAAGATTGAGAGAGAGCAGCAGAGAAAGAAACAGAAGGAACAGAGAGAGACACAGAAGACTCAGTCACATATGATATAGACAATTTCTTCATTATCATGTTCTTCAGGTTCTCAATCAATGATTCAATATTGAGTTCACTATCATCAGCAGACACAGATCTGTCAACATGTGAAAATTCTATATAAATAAAAACAAACATATCAGTATCTGTGTTCATGCAAAATCATGTCAGAAAAACATGATCAGAAACCCGCTGAGAAGAAAATGATTGAGAGTATATAAGAAGATAAAGAAGGTGTGTCATTCATAATAGTATGTTCTGACAATTGTTAGAAGATAAACAAGTTCTGATCACATACATTTCACAACACATTACACTTACTGCTAATGAACTGCCTGGTATGAGCACTACAATAATACTTGTTATGAAAACAGAAGATCATTATCAGAAACATGTACAATGTGATAGATAAACAGATGAAAAGAGTTGAACAGAAGAAGAGATAGAAATCTTGAATGAGATAGTAACATTCAATGATGATGATGATGAAGAAGATAGTTGAAGAATAAAAAAAGTTAGTGAATGAGTGATATAATATAGTGAAAGTTTCTTTGTGAGAGTGTACACAGAATACTAGCCAAATCAGAGATAGGTCACACAATTATGAAACACTAGTGACAAGCTAATCCGCATGAAGCTAGAGTGTACAATATAGTCATGTGAGTGTGACTGAATCTGATAAGAGAGGATGTGGTTCAGAAGAATATATAACTGTCAGATAATAATGCAGCTGCTTCTGAACTACTAGCATATATGTACAAGTGTAAAGGGGTCATAGTGGCTGCTAATTAATTTAGCGTACGATATTACAATATATAAGAAGCCGGCGTACGCCTGTAATCATACGCAGGCTTAAGCAACCTTTGAATCACACACTTCTGAGAAAATAGATAATGAATTATCTATGAGAGAAGACTTTTTCACAGAGTCTATAAGATACTGTGAATGAAGATCAGTGATCTTCTTCTTCAAGAAGTTATCACTTATACAGAGAAGATATAATACTTATGATCAGAAGATATTAGTAATTATTAAATTCTTTAAGATCTGGCAATATTATCTTCAGAGTAGTAAGTACTCAGTGTAAGTTCTCACTGATCATATAAATCTATGTTACTTCTTGATAATAAAGAGCTTGATAGAATATTAAGCCAGATAAGTGAAGCTGCTTTCAGAGTATGATTTCTATATTCAATATCATTCAGATCAGCTTAATCTCACTGATATATTATCTAAACAGTCTGATTATAATATCATTAATGTGAAGAAGAATTCTATAAAAGAATCTCTGTTATTACTGCAGAAGAAGCTGACTGCAGAGAGTTAAAGTTCTCTAAAGCTCAGAAACAGTGCTGAAGAGACAGCTGTGCAACTCAGTATAGAAGATGAAAGAAAACTCAGATTCTCACAGAGAACTAACACTGAAGATTATAAGCTTCTTATATTATATCTTACAACTATTAAATTGATAAAGAATAAAACAGTCTACAATCTTTCAATCTGACTACTTTTGAAATTCATTAATGAGTTATAGAAGAAGAATATCTCTACTACAGCTTAAATTCAGAAGTTGAAGAAGAAAGAGTTCAATTTAAACTTGAAAGAGACAGACTCTGAGCAGAATGATACTGCTAAGAAATCAAGTCACTGATAACTAGAAGAATGTGAACTTCTACTGCTGAATGATTCAGTCTTCATCTCTTATAGTAGAGCAGTGTGTCAGAAGTTATTGAGAATTTATCATAATAATTTTCATACAGAGCACTTTAGATTAGAGAAGACTGAGAAGCTTCTAAAATATAAATACATTTAAGACAAGCTCTGAGCAGATGTTAAAGAGTATATTAAGACTTATAATATCTATTAAAGAATAAAGATTCTGCAGTATAAGTAATATAGTGAGTTAATATCACTGCCTGTTTTAAAGAGCTTATAACAGAATCTATCAATGAATTTCATAGTTAATCTACTGAAGTTGATAAGAGTCAAAGAATATGACTTAATTTTAGTCATTGTTAACTACTTTATAAAGATAATTAGATATATTTCTATTTATAAAAAGATTAAAGTCTCTGAATTAACTGATCTGTTTTTAAATATCATTATTTATAATCACAGTGTTTTGAAATTATTAATAACAGATCAAGAATTCCTCTTCATCAATAAATACTAGTTAACTTTTTACTATTATCTTATAATAAGACATCTTCTCAGTACTGTATTCTATTCACAGACTGATGATCAGACTGAATATCAGAATCAGATACTAGAATAGCATCTTTAAGTATTTTATTTATATTATCAGAATGATTGACTCAAACATCTTCTAATCACTGAATTTATATATAATAATATAAAGAATACAATCTTAAAGATATCTTCTTTCTATACTTATTATAAATATAATTCTTCATTACTCAGTGACATTGTAGACAATATTTTAAAGAAGAGAATAGACAGTCAGAATATTAAACAGATACAGAGAATAAAGTATCTCTCAGTATTAAAAGTAAAAGTGAGATTGAAACTTTTGAATAAAATTTATAAGAAGACAGTGAAAAGTATTCACTATGTCTAGAAGTAATAGATAAAATACTATAATTGAAAACATCTTTCAATGAAGTTCTTAATAGAGAATCAAGTACTACTTTCAGTAAAGAATATCAAGATAATAAGACTGTATAAGAAGCTCAGTGAGTAGTGACTAGAATCTTTTCTGATAATAAGAGTAATAAATAAACAGATATATGAGTTGAAATTACTTATAGAATTAAAATCAATTTATTCTGTTTTTCACATTTTCTATTTAAAGCTCTATAAGTAATGTTCTGAAATAAAGTCATCTTGACTGAATAATATTGAGATTAAGAGTGATACTGAATATCTTATGAAGAAAATATTAAATAAGTGAATATATTACAGCAAGCTTCAATATCTTATTAAATGAAAAGATTATTTATTATCAGAGAATTTATAAGAACTGTTTAAATATTTGAAAAATACTGAGAAAGAGATTATAATCTATGAGATAGCTAGTAGAGACTGTCTTATTACATATTAGAGATATTGAGTAAGAAATATTACTTAAAACTTCTCATTTTTCTTAAAGAGTTTTTTAGAGATAATCTTATAGTAATAAGCTGATATCTTATGAGCTTTATAACACTCTTCTTCTATTTTCTCTTAAAGAATTTTTTAGAAGTTTAATAAGATTATACAAGTGTAAAATTTCTGAAGCAGTTAATAAGAAAAGAAAGAAATATTTGAAATTAATAAAGATTAATATTATTAATCTGTGAATCACTACTATTTTAATAGAGTCACAACTCACTGAAAAAGTAAAAAGAGAGATCAGAGTCTACTTATTAATAATCATCTTCTTATTAAACTTATTCTTCACTGTTAAAGTCTCTGACACTGATATCTTTATCTATTAAGAAGTTAGTATATAATACTGCAGAAGAGCATTCTGCAGAAGAGTACATAAGATACTTAAAGTATGACTTATTAACTATAAAGTATCTCAGTTATCTGCTTTAACTGAAGTAAGATTCTCTTCAATTAGTAATTAATCTTTATAATACTTTTAATAATAATACTGACTGATCTCTTCTTAAGATCAGTCATTCTGAGATGTTTTTTCATCTTAGAGACTTATACTTTCATCTTCTTTTATAGATAAGTAAGAGAGATCTTCTCAGTCTTAATAGAATTCATCAATACTTGAAGCTCTGAGACTCTTACTCTGTACTGCTTAAGTATCTAGACTTCTTATCAGAGCTGATACAATGTCTTCTGATAAGATAATATTTATAGAGAGATAGAAGTCATTGTTATAGATATAATGAAAATAATGAGAGTAAGAGAAGAAGTAAGTATATAAAATCCTCTCTTTCTTCAGCTACTTGATACAGTGTAGACAAGTAGCAGTGCCAGTCAGAGACTGCACTGAAGCCTTCTCACAGAGAGAAGATAAAGAAATCATGAGACTCTGTGAACTCAACTTAGCAGCATCTCAAGCAGGGCTTGAGTGTGCTGTGAAAGAGAAACTATGAATTGAGCTTCTCAGAGTCACTGTTCTCAGAATCAAGCTCTTTCTGAGTTTCTCTCTGAATGATCACACAGGGTCATACATTATCATGTTAACTGAGAGAGGGAGCAGCATCGCAATGACAGTGAGAGAGGCAGGGAATGAACCAGATGCAGATGCATCAGTCAGCAGAAGGGATGACACTTCACTACAAGGCACAGCAACTATCATCACAGCTGCAAGAGAAGCAGAAGAAGATGTAATAATAAGAGTGATACTCCTGCAGCTCATTGATACTGCTGCCTTCAATCTGACTTTCTTAGTGATTATGGAGACCGCAGCTGCACCATGAAGATGTTTGTTATTCACTAGAAAATGTCAGAATAAGCTTCTTATTGTCTCTTAAGAATGATACTTTCATACACTCACTATTACAGATGAGAAGAAGAGGGAGAAAAATGTATCACAGAGAGAAGAATCTTTTTGAAAAAATTCTGTCACTACTGTTAGCTTTGTCTCTAAAATACATCACTTTTACAGAGAATTTCATATATAGAATAAAATATATTGAGAGATCTGTAAGTTACTTGTTAACTACATTTTCCACATTTTAAATTAATATATAAGAAACTCACTTATCATATGTTTGATTTGAATGAAGATGAGAAAAGAAAGATCTACACAGTCAGTAGAATAACTCATCTATTTCTTTATACAGTATATATACTATCAATCAGTTGACAACTATTGCTATACAACAAAGATAATTTCTAATTCAGTAATCTTAAGAGTATCAGAACTATGCTCTTAAAGAAGAGAATATTATCACACTTCTGACTGTACTAAGACTCTGTTACAGTTTCACATAACTCATTACTTTTATGTGAATAATTTCATTCTGTCTGAACTGATTTTCAATCACTCTATGACATCATTTGAATATATCATAAAAAGATTTGATTGATGAATATGAGAACTCTGCTTTTATATGAGGTCAGCAGATTACTTTTTCTTAGCAGTGAGATATCACTGAGATATTACTTTAGCTATTCTCACTTATGAAATAAGAGAAGAAATTCACTCATTATCTATATAGAATAGCTAGATGCTGGCTTTTTATAAAAGAAGTCAGTGATTTGTTTTTCTTCTACTGAAATATATATAAGAGTTACTGTGTGTCTTATACAATCTTCTTAGTATACTAAGTATCATATCTGTGATATTCTTACAATAACTCTGTAGCCTACAAGCTCACTATTCAAGCAAGATAGTCAAGCTCACTTATATGACTTCTTAAACAACTACTTCTACATGACACCGCTGACTAGTCACTGCTTCAGTTCCGCTACATTATATCTTCTCTTTAAGAGTATAGTCTCTATACTCTTAAGATTATCAGATTAGAAATTATCTTTGTTGTATAGCAACAGTTATTAATCAATTAATAGTACATATACTGCATGTGATATAAAGAAATAGATGAGTTTTTCTACTGACTGTATAGATCTTTCTTTCTCATCTATATTTAAATTAAACATGTGATAAGTAGGTTTCTTATATATCAATTTGAAATGTGGAAAATATAGTTAATAAGTAACTTACAGATCTTCTAATATACTCTGTTCTATATATGAAATTCTCTGCAAAAGTGATATGTTTTTAAAGACAAAGTTAACAGTAGTGACAGAATTTTTTGAAAAGATTCTCTCTTCTGTGAAACATTTTTCTTCTCCTCTTCTCAATTGTAATAGTGAGTGTATAAGAGTATCATTCTTGAAGGACAATTAAGAGCTTATTCTGATGTTTTCTAGTGAGTAAATGTCTTCATGATGCGGCTGCAGCCTCCGTGACTGTCAAGAAAGCCTGATTGAAGATGGAGATGACAGTATTGACAGATCACAGAAGCATCACTTTCATTGTCACATCTTCTTCTTCTTCTCCTGCTTCTCTTGCAGCTGCGGCGGCAGTCACTATACCTTGCAGTGAGGTGTTATCCCTTCTGCTGATTAGTTCATTCATGTTCAGTTCTTCCTCTGCCTCTCTCACTACTGTTGTAATGCTGCTCCCCCCCTCAATTAACACAGTGATATATAACCCTATGTGATCATTCAGAGAGAACTCTGAGAAGAGCTTGATTTCAGAGACAGCAGCTTTAAGAAGCTCAATCTATAGTTCTTCTTCTGTGACACATCTGAGCCCTGCTCAGAATACTGCTGAGTTGAGTTCACAGAGTTTCACAGTTTCTTTATCTTCTCTCTGTGAAGAGGCTTCAGTGTAGCTTCTGACTGATATCATCACTTGTCTATACTGCACTAAGCAGCTGAAGAAGAGAGAAATCTTGTATATCTATCTCTTCTTTCACTTTCATTATTTCTGTTACATCTGTAACAACAACTTCTATCTCTCTATAAGTATTATCTACTCTATAAGAAGACATCATATCAGCTCTGATAAGAAGTTCAGATACTCAAGCAGTACAGAGTAAGAGTCTCAGAGCTTTAAATATTGATAAATTTTATCAAGACTGAGAAGATCTCTCTTACTCATCTATAAAAGAAGATAAAAGTATAAATCTTCAAGATAAAAAAACATCTCAGAATGACTGATCTCTTCTTAAGATCAGTCAGTGTTATTATTAAAAGTATTATAAAGATTAATCACTGATTAAAGAGAATCTCACTTCAGTTAAAACAGATAACTGAGATATTTTATAAGTGAATAAGTTAATACTTTCAGTATCTCTTATACTCTTCTATAGTATACTCTTCTGTGATATCACAGTACTAACTTCTTAATAGATAAAGATACTGATATTAGAGACTTTAACAGTGAAGAATGAGTTTAATAAAAGTATGATTATTAATAAGTAGACTTTAATCTCTCTTTTTACTTTTTTAATGAGCTGCAGTCTTATTAGAATAGCAGCAGTCTACAGATTAATAATATTAATCTTTTTATTAGTTTTAAATATCTCTTTTCTTTTAACTGCTTCAGGAATTTTATACTTATATAGTCTTATTAAACTTCTAAAAACTCTTTAAGAGAAAATAGAAGAAGAGTGCTATAGAGTCTATAAGATACTGACTTATTACTGCAAGATTATCTTTAAAAAATTCTTTGAGAAAAATGAGAAGTCTTAAGCAGTATTTCTTACTTAATGTCTCTGATATATAACAGAGCAATCTCTACTAGCTATCTCATAGCTTATAATCTCTTTCTCAGCATTTTTCAAATACTTAAGCAGTTTTTATAAATTCTCTAATAATGAATATTCTTCTCATTTAATAAGATATTGAAGCTTACTGTAATATATTCATTTATTCAATATTTTCTTTATAAGATATTTAGTATTACTCTCAATCTTAATATTATTTAACTGAGATAGCTCTATCTCAGAGTATTACTTATAGAGCTTTAAATAGAAAATATGAAAAATAGAATAAATTAATTTCAATTCTATAAGTAATTTTAACTCATATATCTGCTTATTTATCACTCTTATTACTAAGAAGAGTTCTAGTCACTACTCACTGAGCTTCTTATATAGTCTTATTATCTTAATATTCTTTATTAAAAGTAATACTTAATTCTCTATTAAGAACTTTATCAGAAGATGTTTTCAATTATAATATTTTATCTATTACTTCTAAGTATAATAAATACTTTTCACTGTCTTCTTATGAATTTTATTTAAAAGTTTCAATCTCACTTTTACTTCTGATACTGAGAGATACTCTGTTCTCTATATCTATCTAATATTCTGACTATCTATTTCTCTCTTTAAAATATTGTCTGTGATATCACTGAGTAATAAAGAATTATATTCATAATAAGTATAGAAAGAAGATATCTTTAAGATTACATTCTTTATATTATTATATATAAATTCAGTGATTAGAAGATGTTTAAGTTAATCATTCTGATAATATAAATAGAACACTTAAAAATACTATTCTAGTATCTAATTCTGATATTCAGTCTGACTATCAGTCTGCAGATGAAATACAGTACTGAGAAGACATTTTATCATAAGATAATAGTAAAAAGCTGATCAGTATTTACTGATAAAGAGAGATTCTTAATCTGTTATCAATGATTTCAGAGCACTATGATTATAAATAATAATATCTAAAAATAGATCAGTCAATTCAGAGATTTTAATCTTTTTATAAGTAGAGATATATCTGATTATCTTTATAAAATAATCAATAATAATCAAAATTAAGTTATATTCTTTGACTCTTGTTGACTTCAGTAGATCAACTATGAAATTCATTAATAGATTCTATTATAAGTTCTTTGAAACAGGCAGTGATACTAACTCACTGTATTACTTATACTATGAGATCTTTATTCTTTAACAGATATTGTAAGTTTTAATATACTCTTTAATATCTATCTAAAGCTTGTTTTAAGTATATTTGTATTTTAGAAGCTTCTCAGTCTTCTCTAACTTAAAGTACTCTGTATAAGAATTATTATAATAAATTCTTAATAACTTCTGATATATCACTCTACTATAAGAGATGAAGACTGAATCATTCAGTAGTAGAAGTTTATATTCTTCTAGTTATCAGTAACTTGATTTCTTAGTAGCACTGTCTCACTCAGAGTCTGTCTCTTTTAAGTTCAAACTGAATTCTTTCTTCTTCAACTTCTGAATTTAAGCTGTAGTAGAGATATTCTTCTTCTATAACTTATTAATAAATTTTAAAAGTAGTCAGATTAAAAGATTGTAGATCATTTCATTCTTTATTAATTTAATAATTGTAAGATATAATATGAGAAGCTTATAATCTTCAGTATTAGTTCTCTACAGAGATCTGAATTTTCTTTCATCTTCTATACTGAGTTATATAGCTGTCTCTTCAGTGCTATTCTCAAGCTTCAGAGAATTTCAATTCTCTGTAGTCAGCTTCTTCTGCAGTGATAACAGAGATTCTTTTATAGAATTCTTCTTCATATTAATAATATTATAATCAGACTGTTTAAATAGTGTATTAACAGAGTTAAGCTGATCTGAATAGTATCAGATATAGAAATCATACTTTAAAAGCAGCTCTGCTCATCTGACTTAACATTCTGTTAAGCTCTTTATTATCAAGAAGTAATATAGATTTATATGATCAGTGAGAACTTACACTGAGTACTTACTACTCTGAAGATAATATTATCAGATCTTAAAGAATTTGATAATTATTAATATCTTCTGATTATAAGTATTATATCTTCTCTGTATAAGTAATAACTTCTTGAAGAAGAAGATTACTGATCTTTATTCATAGTGTTTTATAAACTCTATGAAAAAGTCTTCTCTCACAGATAATTTATTATCTGTTTTCTCAGAAATAA